GTCACCTGGTCATGTGTTGTCATGGAAGCGAGCCCATGGTCCTTGCTGTGCTGACAAGGACCTGGTGTTTCCAATCAGCCTCATAAGGGAAATTCACACTGACTGAGAAGGAGGGGTGATGTTTAGGGTTTTGTTTGGATTTGGAGTATTGTTTAGCTTCAAGTTGTTTAAGTTAATTGTAAATGTTTTATTTTTATTATTAAAAATATATATTTTTTTCCCTCTACAGGTTTAATTTAGCTGATTGTATCCCAAATAGAAAATGTAAATCTTGTCAAAGTTTTCACCCCTTTTATTAGAGGCTGATGCTTTAGAAAGCTGGGTTATTTAAATGATGGTGTGTCTTTTTTGTGTGCTTCTGCTGCAATTGAAGGAAGTGGAATCCCTGCTCTTTTTCTTTAAATGTATATATATATATATATATATATATATATATGATTGATGATCATGATTATGATATGATGATGATGATTAACTGTAATTTCTATGTAGTTAACTGTTAAAATGAGCCTATTTGATGATGGGCACATCTCTTCTTCAGGTTTAGAACAGGATACTGTGATGTACTGCAAAAAATAACAATACTTCAGCTGCTGTTTTTTCTTACTAGTTTTATCCTTTTTTAAATAAACCTGGTTAAATGTCCCGCACACTTTTAATGAATTGCAGACTATTATTTGTTAAAGAAATTGGGAAAAGAATGTTTTTGTTCCAGTTTGCAAGCAGTGTGCTACTTTGTACAGTAGATCACAAAGGCCCAGCAACAAAAGGGGCAAAAACCTTAAGGGGTATAAAAGCACTAAATGTTTTCAGTTTAAATTTCAACATTTCTTTTGACCATTTCACACCAAAGCAGAAACCCCATCAAACTAACTCTCTTATCCACATGCATTCTCAGTCCTAAAAATGGACACGTTTGCACATGTACACCCATGTACACCTCAATGCCCTGAATTCACATGCACAACATAAACAACAGGAATGCCGCTTTTCTTAGTGTGCTTATATTTGGGATTTTAGATGCAGCCTGGTGGATATCGAGCAAATTTCGGATAATAATTTCGGATCGAAACATCTTTACTTCTGCGCTATAGAAGTGACGTATCACAATGTTTGTTACAGCTTCAGATGGTTTCATCTTTAAGCTTAAACATCTCTGTGTGGATACCTTGTCCGCTCTGTCCTGATGTAGCCTGAGTTGCCTTCACTCCACCACATAGGATTAGAAGAGTAACCGTGGAAAATTGGGGGGGTTGAAGATGAACCACTCCTGTTACGCCTCTCAGGCAAGTTGGCAAATAGGTGTGAAGTGGGGGTTGCTCCATTATTAGCAGCTCTGAATCCCTCTCTCTGCTGGTTTCGCAGCGTCGGCTTTGTTCATGTGAGTATAGATCATCACAGGACTTTGCTGACTTGAGCGGCTCATACTGAATGACCAGAGGAGGCTTTAAGAGGGGCCCATCTCTCTAGATCCTAAAAAGGCTTTTGTGAAACCCTTCTTTTATATGTTGTCCTCACACTATTCTTCTGTTTATTTCTATCTTTTATATAATTTTTATACCAAATTCTGTAGTTCTTCATATGTTTTATGACAACATTTTAGCCTGAGTTTGTGCTTTTACACAAGAACAAAGCGAATATGTCTTGTGAAAGACTTAAGAGAAAAAGTTGGGTGAGGTAATCCTCCGCTCGATGTTGTTTTCGCTGGAAATCTTGGAAACTCGTAAGAGGAAGGGCTTAAGGAGTGATGCATAAGAGGGCGGTCACAAACAGAAAACAAGAAAAAAAAAAATAATCCACCAACACGTTTGTTCTGTCAAGGAAATCAACCAATCTTCTTGCAAAATGCAGTTTATCTGATGCAATTGTCAAATATAAAAACTCCTACGATCTAATTCACTTGCAGAACACTGCATTGTGTTTGTTTACAGTTAATATCCATGTTATAACCTGCAATTAAGGTGCAGGTTAAGGTGTTATATTTTTTATTACTTTGCACATAATTTTTCTAGATTTCATGTTTGTTTATCGTTTGTTTTAGGTTTACTTTGAGAAACCGTTTAACATTATAAATGGGTTTAGAATCACCCAATGGAATATGTAAAAACATAATCAGACCATCTCCATATAAACGATATAGTCTCATCAGATCTCTTTTAAAATAAATCGCACAGCCCTAATTCATCTGAAAGAGGAAGTAAGAAAGAAATTCTGTTTCTAGTCAATTGTAAAGTTTATGAGACTGAGGTGATTGCTTGTTAAAAATGTTAGTGGCTGGTAAACATGTCGATGAACAGCTCTTACTCCTCTTAAAATGTTTTGTCTCCTTATCTTACAGCGGCTTTCAATGCTGTTAAATCAAGCTGATATAGCCTAACAGTGCCGAAAGCCCACACAAAACCTATCAGATGATACAAAACACTGAGATCAGATATGGGTTTGTTGTGTAAATCTAATCCTCCAGGCACCATCAGGACAAGTCTCACCATCTCTGATTCGCTCTGCCAGGGCTTCTGCACTAAAGCCTGCAAACACCACGTTGTGGGCAGCCCCAATCCGGGCACAGGCCAGCATGGACGCCACAGCCAGAGGGCAGGTGGGCATGTAGATGGTGACGCAGTCCCCCTTCTTTACGCCCTGCCGCCTTAGCAGGTTCCCCAAGCGGCAAGTCATCTCCAGAAGCTCCCTGCAAAGATAAAGATGAATTACACTGTAATAAAAAAATAATAAAGTTATTGATTATATTAACTGCATCACTTACTTGTATGTGTACCTGACCTCTGACCCCTGCTCATCCCTCTCCCAGATGAGGGCCACCCTCTCTGGACAGGTGTGCACATGGCGGTCCAGGCAGTTCACTATAGTGCATATGGGAACATGCACAACATAAACAAAGCTGCATGAACCACGTGGTGCGTTCAGTGTGGATGGTGTTTTTTAAGTCCGCATAAAGACGCATTCATTTTAATCTAAAGAGTATATATCTTTGAATTATTATTTATCTGTATCCGTTTTAAATCTTACCAGAGACGTTCAGCTTTCCTCCCTCAAACCAACTAATCCTCCCTTGGCTCAGATCGCAGTCCTGTACAACGTCGAAGGGTCGGATCCAGCTCAGCCTCTGGCGGGCCACGGCGGCCCAGAAGCTCTCGCTGTGGGACACCGAGTAATCGTGCAGGGCATCGCGGCCAGACACGCCCTCGAAGCCCGAAGACTCCGGCATGAAGGCAGCCGCGTTCCAGCTGCTCCTGTTGCGACGCAAAGCATGAAGAAAAGATGCCGAGACGCCACGACTGAAGGAAGCAGCCACGTACTTCGCTGCGCATCTGCAAGGAAGCCACATGTTTCCGAAACTACGAGCTGTGAAAAGAAAGCGTGCAAATCATTTCACCAAAAAGGAAAAGTTTTTTTTTTTAATTTGGTGAGGAAAGTTTGGAAATCCTCGATGTTTTTTTTTTTTTTTGCGCTGGAAATCTTGGAAACTCCTAAGAGGAAGGGCTTAAGGAGTGATGCGCAAGAGGGCGGTCACAAAAAGAAAACAACACCAACACGTTTGTTCTTTCAAGGAAATCGACCAACCTTCTTGCAAAATGCAGTTTATCTGATGCTCTTTTTAAATATAAAAACTCCTACGATCCAATTCACTTGTTGAACATTGTTGTGTGTTTGTTTACAGTTAATATCCATGTAATAACCTGCAATTTAGGTCGTTTGTGCGTGCGTAAACGCGGGAGGTGTGGTCAGAATCTGTAAAACTGTTTTAGTGAGGTTCACTGAGCATTCGTAAAAAACCCTTATTGCACGCAGAGGTCAGGGATCCATATCAAAGCAACAGCTCTGCCTTTAACCACGCAGGGCGTTGGTTTTATTATCTCAAACAGTTGTTAAAGATAAGTGTGGGGGTTGTCTCTCTGAACAACCTCCTTTTTATCCGGCAGTAGTGTTTGATATGTTGTGTCATATAAGAAATACAAATAACATGAAAATTAACAAATGAAAGTCAGGCATTGTTTTAAAAAAAGCTTCAATAAATCTTATTTTAAAAGGTAAATTCTTGAAGACCTGTAGACATAATATGGTACCCATAACTTAATATTTGTCGATCAATCTTTTGAGACAATTATTGCCATTAAATGATTCCTGTAACTGTCTCTGATACTTCTGCTACTCTCTGCAGGTATTTTGGCCCACTCCTCATGAATAAACTGCTCAACTTGTCTCAGGTTTAAATGGTGCCTTTTCCCAGACAGGATGTTTAAGCTCCTTCCGAATATGCTTGATAGGATTTAGGTCAAGGCTCATTCACTTCTTAGCTGTTCTTTTTTAGCTGTGTGTTTTTGGTCATTATTCTATTGCAAGACCCATGACCTGTGACTGAGTCCAAGCTTTCTGATACCAAGCAGCACATTTATCCTGATAGTCTGCATATTTCATTGAACCCTGGAGATACTTAAGACACTCTGTTCTAGATGAAGCAAAGCAGCCCCAGAACATAACAGAGCCTCCTCCAAGTTTCACTGTGAGGACAGTGTTCTGTTCTTGATATGCTTCATTTTTTGTCTGTAACCATAGAACGGATGTTCCTTGGCAAAAAGTTCAAAAAAGTTCAAAGGTCAGCAGCACCAAATTCTTGGGGGTGTACGTCACAGACAACCTTACCTGGACTGTAAACACCACCTCACTGTTCATAGGGCATAAAAGAGCTTGTACTTCCTGATGAGGATTAGGATCACAACAAGCTTCTACAGAAGCATCGACAGCATTCTGACCAGCTGTCTCACTGTGTGGTGCAGGGGCTGCAGCGCCACAGACTGAAAGAAGGTGAGGAGATTGGTGAGAACTGCAGAGAAGATCATCGGGACTTCTCTTCCCTCCATTAAAGACAGTACATCCCAGCGCTGTTTGTCCTGAGCCCGTAACATCATCAATGACCCCTCACACCCCCACCATGGACTGTTCTCCCAGCTGCCCTCTGGGAAGAGGCTTCACAGCATTCAATGCAGGTCCAGCAGATTCCAAAACATCTTCTACCCGTCCGCCATCAGACTGCTGAAGTATGAAAAAACTGTAAATCATGTTACAGACTCTGCATCAAACTGACATGAATGCATTTTTTGCACCATGTTTTTTCTCACACAATGTTTACATTTGATCACTGCTGCACTCTAAGAAATGCAAATGTCATGAGAGCTGTACAAAACAACATTTTTATTTTGTAAGCACTCTGTGTATACAAAATGACAATAAAAACTGTCCAATTCTTAAGTGTCTAAGTCTAATAATGGTGTCCTCCTTGGTTGTCTTCCATTAACTTCACTCAAATGACAATGGATGGTAAAATCTGATGTATTTGAACTTGAAGTTCACCTTTAATTTGAAGTTTTGCTAGGCATTTTTGTTACCATTTTTTTATTCGTCGCTGTTTGTCATCAACTTTCCTCCATTGGCCACATTCAAGGTTGGCTACAGCCCCATGTATATTAGATTTCTGAATAACATGTGCAATTGTTGCAACAGGAACATCAAGCTACTTGGAGATTATCTTACCCAATTAGCAAAAATTGGTTGAAAAGACATTGTAATGACGACATGATTTACATCCAAACAACTTCTACATTTGGTTGAAAGGTGAAAAGCCGCAATTTTCAGATAGTTCAAAGGACATTCTTTTCAATGTCTGTTATTGGACTAAAGAAAATGAAAGACAGACCAGATTTGGCCAAAAAAAACAAAGTCTAAATAATGTCTGGTGTTTGGGGGGTATAGTGTTTACCTTTACCATACTTTTCTATCATATTCTCTCTGATATCCTGAGAAAACTCTTTCCTTCTCTTCCTCTGGTCCATGTAAAGTGTGGTACACCGCATGCACCTAACAGCACAGGGGCTACCTGTAGCCCTAAATACAGTTCCACTGACTGATTACAAGATTGTAGAGAACCGTGGGACTTAATAGTGGGAGCACCTTGATTTAGAATGTCCCTTTGTTCACAGGACTTCCAGTTTTTCTTTTTTAGGCAGGTCTGTTTCATGAGTTTATTTTTTGAATAATTCTGCTGAAGCATTTTTTAGGGATTTCTGATTTTGGGTTTTTCTTTCGTTAAACAAGGGGTACCAACAATTTTGCGCACATGTTTAGGCAATTGATCAGGAGAAGGTGCCAACTCCTAAAAGGGATGCTGTAGCAAAAATAAAAGAAACGTAACAAAAATCAAATGAAAGCTATTTAACAAAGAATACAAAAATAGTTGAAACAATCAAATAAAAACAACTAAAACATAAAAAAATAAAATCGATAAAGTGCCTCTAGGGAAAGGGAGACTGCTCTAAGTTATTTGCAATACACTGCATTTTATCTCATGCCAGAGCAACCAGAAATCTGACTTTTTCATGTTAAAATGTATGTGTTGGGCTTTAATTAAAAGCTGCTAAAACATCTGGTGTGTGAAAGTGGTTTGCTTTTTAATGTTGGCTTGTTCAGTTAAAAAAAAAAAAGCATCTAGTCAATCAAATGGCATGATTTCACCAATAAGGGAGTTACCTGCAGTGTAATACGTACGTGTTCCTACTTGTGAAACTTTTAGGTATTGGGTAATAGACCTGGGAATCAACAGTAAGCAAAGAATGGCAAACTACTAATGTTGCTAATTCTGAACACTCAGCATACAAGTCATATTCTAGTTTATACCCTTGCCAGAAAAAAGGGTGACTGACAAAGGGTCGGAATGAGTTTTATTAAATTTTGATTTCTTAAACACGATTAAATAAAAATGCAACTCTTTAACTGCCTGGTCAACCAAATGATTAACCATTTGCTCAGCAAAATGCAGGTTGGAGGATGACCAGGCAGTTAGACAATTTTCAAAGGATTTTATATGTAAGACGCCGGGTTGTCACTCCCTTAGATTTGAGGTAGATTGGGGTTGCTATTTTCACTCCTGCCTTCATCAAATATTAACTTTACAGCATCACTAACTTCGAAAAACAGTGTCCCTGCAATGCTACAAAGCTATTGTACAACAGAACGTATTGTTTGAAATCACACTAGACTGTCTTTCTTAAATTGTCTTATTGTTTCATAGGATGATGTCATGAAACAGGACAGATGGACTCAGTAGTCACGGCGAGACAGACAGTGGGATAATTCAAAGTGTTTATTTAAACAACACAATCAGGCTGTTGATGCATAGTATCAGCGGCTAGGGCAGGGTACTGCCTATCACTGGAAAATCTGGTTTTACTGTTCAGTCCATTTCCTTAGAGAGAGGTAGGATCCAGCCGGTGAACTGCCAACAAAATGCAGCGGGCGCCGCCCAGAGTCTCCCTAGATGCTGCAGCCTCAGGCAACAAGCAGGTATCCGAGGCAGGTCAGGGAAACAGATTAGAACAGGAAGGCTTATAGGTTCAGGAGTTCGAAGCCTGGTTGGAATAGGAACAGGCTGGTCATGGTTTGCGGGAGTCCACAGACAGTTCAGGCAGAATGTTCAGATGGGAACAGGCAGGCTCAGTGGTTGAGAAGCAGAACAGGTCAGGATATCAGGAAAGCTACGAAACACTAGAACTAAACTAAAAAACTAAAACCGTTCGCTCCACTGAGCCAAGACAGGGACAGGGCATGCCTAGTGGATAAGAGGCAGATCATGATCAGAAAATCAGAACCTCTACGGAATGCTAAAAAACAGTCTTTCCTCTTGCCCCCTAGAACGAGCACTAGAACAACAATAATCTGGCCCCAATAGCTGGGACTGAGCCACAGGAACAGGTGGATTAGAGGGGCGAAAATTGAAAACCGCGCAGAGTTTAAGCAGGTGAATGAAATGAGCAATTAGGCCAACCATCAGTGCCAAGACCATGACAGATGAAGGCTAAAATATGAGTATAATCACTCTGAATTAGGACTTTTCCTTATTAAATGTGTTTTTTTTTTCTTTTTTCAAAATACATATCTTGCCAACACGAGTAATTAGAGAAGACACATCTGGTTGGTTTGTTTCCCTGTGATAGACTTTCCTGTTCAGGGTATACCTGCCTTTTGTCCATTGACCTGTAGAGAAGGTCATTATCCTTATATGTACTCCAAACCCTCCATGACCAAAGGGATAAGCAGGCATACCCATTGGTTTAATGGATAATGATTAGATTTTAATGCAAAAGAACAAACATTCTTGGCAGTGAAAACATTTATACTGGACAATTATAAAAGCACATATTTTTGTTTTATGCCTGATTTAATCATAGGCCTTGAAATAAGGCCTGTGAATTAAAATGTATACCGCTGTATTTATAACAATAATGTATCACATGTATCACTATAAACAGAAACATATTTTTTTGTTTTACCAACCGGATTATGTTGAAGGGATTTGTAAACAATTATTTGCAGTGAGGCAAGGGAGTAGATTCTGCATACTTTGGCTGTTTACCTGTTAACCTATCTCAGTGGGTCAGAGCAGAGACACATCTAACTAACCCTGGGTTATTGGACCAATCAGTTATTACACCCCTCCTGCATCGCTTCATCAACCTGTTATAGAAATTTTTTTTTATTGTGAAGTTATGGTGCTTTTTGAGTCTTTCTATGATTGCAGGCTTTGTGAGACACATCCCTTTGTTTTCCTTACAAAGTCATGAGCTGAGTTTGCAGCTGCATGACAAGGTGAGATGCAGAGCTCTGTTCTCATAGGATAACTCACAGAAGACGGTTATCTTGGGCTCGGTACGTTGCCCGGTCAACTGAGGAGGTTAATTAGGGCTTTATAACATGTCAGGTAGATGTTTCTCCTCCTCTATTGTCCCTTATTTAAGACAATCTGCAGGCTTTGAGACTCAGTACTCATATTTTTGTATTGAAGATTGATAAACCGGACTGAAACATTTTTCAGTCAGTCATCAGATATTTATTGCTTTTCAACAACACAGTATATTTGGCTGCTGCACAAAATCTGTTTCTTTTCTCAGTGACTCAGAAAATATGATTAAGTTAATCTATTCCTAATTTCCCCTTCCTGCACATAAAGTAATCTTTTTGGCAACTCCTATCTGCATTATTAGCATTTTCTTTTGTTTCGTTTTGATATTTTAGAATTAGACAGACATCGAATCAAACTACTGTGGGCTGCAAGCCTGATGGAAATGAAAAGTAAAGCAATTTCTCAAAAAATAAGAATAAAAGACACATTAGCTTTTTCCTCTCTGTTCATTCTTTAGGATTGATTTTTAACATTGATGATATTGCCACCTACTGGGCTTGTCTGTGCTTCTTTTAAAATTTCCTAGCTAGGGTCGAAGAAGCTTTTCTTTTGTCTGAAGGAAGATCTAAACATTTCTCTCTTTTACAAACTAAAGCTGTGCAGTAATGTTTGTCCTTTTGGCATTTTATGCTTTGACTTGTAGATAGGTTATAGGCCAGATGTCCAAAGTGAGAACCAAGACCCAGGTATCTCATCTATAATGAAAACTGTAAAAAAAAAAAATAAAAAAAAGAAAATTTACTAGATTTAATTTCCACAACTGAAGGATCTATCTATTATAGTGAAAGAAAATCTTAATTTCACTTGTTTTGTTCAGTCATTCTAGAGCATGAGAATCTCAATTAGTTTGACACATGGATTTTAAATATAAGTAATCTTTATTTAAACCACACTCACATTTATAAAGGGACAGATAAGTACATGTCATGGAACCATCACATGCTTTGAATATATACATCACACTTTGACCTTTTAAGTTTGTGGTTTTCCCTAGATGTGTTACCAATATTTGCTGTGGTAGCTTTCGCAATAAAGAGCAGGAAATAGGAAGGCATGAGTTCAGGTTTTAGCAATAAAATACATTACAGGCCCTTCTTTGTTGGTATTTCACCACAAATATGTTTCCTGTATTTTTTTTTTTCATTTGCTTTCCTGCTGATGACCTGTTTTCTCATGCTCAGCCTCCACCCTATGTGTCGTGAGGTCTTTTTCTGAAACAGTCCCCATCATCTTTACACTGTGCTCCAGCGCCTTTGCTCGCAGCGCCGCAATGCTGCTCTCCCTCAGTTCCTCTTTAGAAATAGACAAACTAATGTCTTTATTCAGTTTCTCTTCCTCCATGTTTTTTTCTCCTGTTTTCTCCTGCGCAGGCGGATGTGTTGGAGGCTTGCTGCTCATGGTTTTTCCTGGGGTGGGGTGAGAAGGATCAACAGACTTCTTGTGCATTCCTAAAGAGCAGAGAAATAGAAATTGTTGTTAGACTTCATCTGTAAAGAGGATGCTTAAGATCACTAAACAAATGTGAAAATAGACAAAGAAAGAAATGAGGACACAAATTCTTATTCAATTAGTGTTTTGTAATTGATTTAATCTAATCAATTGACATGAGGTTACATGAGGACTAATCTGTCTTGATGAACACAGATTATCTCTGTATTGACTGCAGGTCAAGGTCCTCAGTAGATCAGTAGATGTCAAAATACAGATCAATTTCAGTTCTTTATTACAAATCTACAGTCTAAAATGTTGCCTTTTTATCATATATTAATATTAGTTTATGGTATTTTGCATTAAAGGTACACATTTGTAGACTGTAGATTTTATTTGCAGTCACAGTTGCACCAAAAAAAAAATTGTCATTCCTTCTTTAACTACGATAATTTAAACAATAATGTTAAGCTTGAGTTAAATTCAGCAAATATTAAAAAAATTGGTAAATACAATGGTTAATTTTTTCTTTGTTTCCTGCGTTTGAATGTATTTGTTCCAGTTAAACAAAACAAAATTCAATATAATTAACACACCCAGTAACCATGGAGCATAAGAGTCTGAGACGCCATCCTTTGCTGACTTGAGGATGGACTCGGGGAGGGGGATGGAGTGACGGACCATGGCGCCGTACAGGCCGTATTCTGCCATCACACTGCTGCGACCCCAACACTTCTCCCTTTTTCTCCACTTAGCCCTACGGTTCTGAAACCAAACCTGCAGAGAGTAAAATCATAAACGTTAAATGAAATAAACAACATTCTGGCTAATAAATCTGTAGTAAATAAGATATTGCTTCAATTAAAAAAGCTACATTGTTGTAAAATAAGATTAGCACCATTGACAGATTTTCTCAGATTTTGCTTATATTTCAAATTTAAATTCAATCTGAACAAATCGCTGAACAAATTTAAACGTCAAACTGAGTAAGACTGAATCAGGCAGTTGATTCAGTCATGAATGGCTTGTTTGAGCAACTAATCAGATTGAAGAATGAACTTTGACTCCAAAATCTTCCCTTTGTTGAGGTATTCAGAGTTGGAACTCCTGGTGTTCTTGGAATTATATTCCTGCCATATAAAGGAAAGACCTCGTTCACTATTTTCTGCCATGGACTAGAACTAACTTTAATCAATTATGGTGCATCACACTTGATATAAGTAATAATCATAGATGCAACAAGGCATGTCTAAGATCATCTAACCCCCACCAGATCCATAATGTCTCCATCTGAGCATAGTCAACCCCAACGTATAACATTTTCTGAGGCCCCCTTGCTTAGAAGGAATTTCTATTTGTCTGTTTTCGAATGTCAGGTCACAATATGTTGCTTTTTAAAGGTATTAATTATTCTGCAGTTCAGGCAGTTACTTGGACTAATTGAGGCTAGTGAAACAGAACCAATTAGATTTCCTTTAGAAATAATTAATGGTTAAACAAGGGAGTCAGGGACATTTTCCACTAGAGTTAGATATTTTAGAGTTTATGTTTGTACTGTAATAAATGGAACATCACTGAAAACTCCTTTTTGTTTGTCCGTTTGTCTTTAAAGACCTTGTAAATGTATAAAATACCCCAAAATGAGCACAGAAAGTTAGAAAATAAAAATTTAAAACTGCTTTATTTTTTATGATACGTATCCACCACGATGATAGCGTATCTGACTCATATAATATTTGTATATTTATTTTCTTTTTATTGCACTATTTGCCTGCCCTTTTTTCTTTTATATTGTTTTGAGCTGTAAAAAAAATTGTTTTACCCTTGAGGAACAATGACAAAGATTTCTGATTCTGATTCATCCAGCAGCATGGCATACGCTTACAGTTTGGGGGTTGTTGAATTTAAACATAGCAAAACATTTGTGGAAATGACACATGTATACACAGTTCACATATGAATATTACATGGACTGTTAATGTAAAACGAAAAGGTAATCTGTGCATCTATAAATATTAATGAACAATATAGTGTTTCTGTTCCATAAATAGCTATGAAGTTATTCCTTTTGGTCTGTTTTTCTCTACAGATGTAACCAGTATGCAGATGCTGTAGATCAGCGATTCCAACTGGGGGCAGGCGTACCCCTAGTGATCCGCGAGTGCATTGCAAGGGGTATATGAAAATATGTTATTTCTTAGGTAGTAAAATAACATAGGGCCAGGATCTATTCTGCTTTGTGAGGACCCAATTAGAAAAATTAAAGGTATTGCTGAGGATTTTTTTTTTTACAAGATTTTACAAAATTTACAACAACAAAAAAATGCGCGTGCAAGACCATGCACAAGCCCATTTCTCCTTGTGCACGCCCTGTTTAAAATGTGCTGTTCTCATAGCTAATACAAGGGGATGAGGTGTTGTACTTGATAGAGTCCACCCAGATAATGTTGCTTATGGGCCTATTGTTGTGTTGTTACGCCATTGACCACAGATATACACCTGAAAGTGTGCATGCGTAGGAGGACCACTTATTTAGATAATCCACCCAGAAGGTTTTATTTGAGTTCACTTTCAGCTTTGACAAAAATCAAAAAGAAGCAGACTGCATGTAGAGAATATCCTGGTATCTTCTGTTTTTCACACTGATCTATTGGAGCTCATCAAAGCAGCTCAGGTGTCTTAATGAACACAAAGTGAAACTAATTAAATCAGTCTGACTATAACTTTTGTTCTGCTTTTTGTTCCTAATTTATTCATCATTTATTTCAGTTCTTTACTAATTTCCAGGCAACATATTTATGTTGTTTTTAATTTGAGTTAGAAAGCATAAAATGCCTCACAATTAAAAGCTCAAATGAAAAGATTAAGTAAAATAGTTTTTATTCTATAATCAGTTATTGTACATTACACTTTTGGACAATCATCAGTACTTTTAAATTGACAGGGATCCTCATGGTAAGACAAAATGCCCCAACGGGTAAACAAATCAAAAAAGGTTGAAAACCAGAGCTGTGGATGATGCAATGTCTTAGGAATAACATCCTAACGAAAACTTTGCTCTTTAGAAAATATAACGGCAAAAAAATAACTAAATGTTTTAAAAAGGTGGAGATTCTCACAATTAATTGCTTTCAAAAGCGGAAACATGTTTACGGTTTTTGTATTTGGTCACTAAATATCCAAAGGATTACATCATTTTATGACAAAGACAAAATAAAAAGCAAACAAATCCTAAAATGGAACAAAGCTGGATTGATTTTTACAATATGATTTTACTTGGCTTTATGTAAAAGCCAGGTTTTGTTTTTATGATAGGGGGCCTGTCACAATTAATTCACCTGTTCTGATCTATTAAAAAACAAAATAACATTTGAACTGAAACCCTGTTTTATGGAGGCTGGAATAATCGGAATAAAGAGTGTTTTTTTTCTTCTATATTTTTTTAACCAGGAATAAATCAGGAAGAAATCTCTGATGAACTGTTATTAATGTAAAGACCAACCAGCAGTTAATCTTATTATGATGCAATACAGCTTTAGGCCTCTCGGCTAAATATACAACCCAGTATCTAAATTAAATGATTATGTTGTCATAAAAAAGCTTTTACACCAAAAGCAAGTATAAAAAAGACAAAAAAATGTATGTAGTTTTAAACTACAAGTTGATAAAAAGTGGTAAAATCAACAATAAGAAAGAAGCAAAAATTCAGCATACCTTCAGGTTGACCTCGGCCCTACACCTCTGACTCTTTTTCATTAGATCTATGTTACACTTTTCAATCTTTGCTCACTATAGCCAGCCAGCAGGGAGCATTTTTTTCATGGAGCAGCTTTAATTTTAAATTTTTCAAAAGTAGAATAAACACAAAACCTGAATGAAAGCTGTCATCAGTTTATTCAGAGTAGGCTTCTGTCTCCTCAGGAGGTTAAATTGATTCCACCACCTCGTAATAGACTTGTGAATATGGATGAGTGGGAAGAAAAGAGATACTTGAATGTGTGGGAGCATGTGTGCGTTAGTGTGTGTTGGTCGTGGAAAGATGGGCAGGTATAATATTCATCTCAAAGTGATGAGCCACAGATGAGCAATCGACCCTTTTTTTCAAAGTGGGTGCTCTAGACAGCCTGTGCGTTTCCAGTGAGAGGTGAGGAAGGGGCAGGGAGGCTGATTGGGAAATAAGTTAATTTCCAGACCTGGTCGATTGGAGACAGGCGCGTCAAATTTCATGGGAAATTAAAACACTTTGGTCAGCCGGGTGCAGCCCTCTGCTCAGCCGCTGACCTCTGCTAATTAATTTCTTTATAGTTATGCTTTCATTTCAAGGCTGCGGCCTGTCTGTGCTTGGAAAAGCAAGGATCAGTTTTTCTTTAACAACTAATTAAAGTTTAAGGGGGGCTTGTCAGCTGAGAAAATCTGCCCCTGATTGCTTCACTTTAATCTATATGCAGGGCCATCACTAAATCCATGTACTGCACACTTGGGTTTTTATTCCTATATTTTGAAAGACACGTTTCTTCCTGTAAAAAATAAAATGTGCTCACCTGTATTCTGTCCTCTGGCAGCTCAGTTTTCATAGACAGCATTTCTCTGGCGTAAACATCTGGGTAATGAGCTTCATTAAATGCTTTCTCCAACTCCTCCAGCTGATAGGATGTAAAAATGGTTCTGCAGACAAAATAACAGAGAAAAAACCCGAAAATAAACCAACCTGAGATTTTTTAAAATTTTAAACAGCACATATACTTTAATTTGACTCATAGTTCTTTGTTAAATAAATGTCATTAATAAAAACTTGTTAGCTTGGGTTTTTTGGGATTCAGATCATTTATGTAATCCTTAAAACTTACATTTAAAGGAAACACCACATAAATTATTACAATTCTAATGACTGCTTTAATTTAGATTATACTGCCTTGTCAAATTCACTGACATGATGTAAAATCAGTTAAATTAAAATGAATTAAAATACAACCACTTAGAATGAAACTTTGTAAATTATAAACAATTTTGAAATATACATTAGTAACAAAATGCTGTAACAGACAAAAATAAATAAATAAAAGGATAAATAAATGTATAAGATATATTAGAAATCACAGAACCAACCATGTGCACAAGAATAATTGGAGCAAAACATAATAATAATAATAATAATAATAATAATAATTGTAGTTTATTTACCTGTGTCTTCTTTTCTTTCTCTTTTTGCTCTGACTCATCGATGAGGCTGAAAATTTGGGATCCCCGGATGAGTTCAAATCATCTGAATCTGTGTGCAAACAGAACAAACTGTTTGGTTTCAAAATAATAAAAATATGAACTGTAGGCCTATATAACATATTATTTTAAATGTAAATCTAAAGCTGCATCATGTCTTTTATTTCAAAAGGTTCAGGTTCGTTTCAAATTTAAAGGGTTAAAATCGAATAACAACAGAAGAAAAGAAAAAAACATTTAAAAAAAAAAAAAAAAGGGAATTTTAATTATTTCTAATTTAAAAAGAAAAAAAAAATCTAAAATATTGCAAATGAAAAATTACCTGAGGAACTTTAACATATTTTTGAAACCTTTTCTGATTTTCTTAGATGAGGACCGATGGGATACTCACCGGAGCTGGCACCGGAATGCTGCGCCTCCATCTGGGGCTCCATCTGCGGCGTCCTGTGCAGCGGCTGCAGGTGCACATTGTGCGCCTCTGACAGCACCTCCAGGAAAGCAGGTTGGCTGTAAAACGTATGTATCCCATCCGGGCCCAGTAAACCCATACCGAGTCCTGTGTGTCTAGCGGACAGGACGTGAGCCCTGTGAGGCAGAGTCTCCAGCGGTCGTCTTGGTGTGGCCGCCGGAGGCTCCTTGTTGAGGCCAAGAAGCTCCTGGATGCCAAAGCCGGTGCGCCTCTGCACGGTGGGGGCCATTTTCCAGCCCGGAGGTTGATGCTTGGAGTCCCCCTGGTTTAAGATGTTCTCAGACGTTGTTTTCAGTTTATTCTGTGTGTCTGAAAGCACAACTCCATCCTTTCCCGTCATGATGTTGGCCTTCCCCCTTTAACAAAATACTCCTGTTCGCCAGTGAACGCAGCAATGTTGAGCGCTTTATCTGAGCGCTCATCTGTGCTTCACTTTTTATCCAACATGCAACAGGCGGCAGCCAATCACAGGACAGGAGAAAAGGCATAAGCAGGTCTCTGAAGCATCCAAGGGAAACTGACCAAACACATTTTGTGATCATCAAACTTTTTTATGGTTAAAAAAACAACAACAAAAAAAACGTAAGAGAAAAGAAGAAGAATATATATATAAACTAACGCCAACGTTCAAAAATATTTGTCATACATTTAAAAATCATAATACAAGGGAAAAAAATGACATTATTATTATTATTTTGATCTGAGTTGCATTTAGATCTCATGTGGGAAAATAATATAAATAACAGAAGTTTTGTATTCATGTTTCTCGAATACAAATCAAGCTGAAACAAAACATAGGCCTATCCATAAATTAGCCTACTCAAAATTTAATTCATTTTTTTAGAAGATTAGAAAATCGAAAAGCATAAATTCTGTAAAAATTCAGTAGATTAGAAGCAAGAAAACAGAAACAAGAAAACAGAAAAGCATAAATTCAATAGGCTAAGACCAAATTCTCAATTACAAAGCTGGAAATTTAGGATTTGAAATTATAAAAAAAAAATCTTGAATTTAAATAATTTAAAAGCAATATGATACCATCAGTTAAGCTATTACATCATTTATTGAACCTCTTCAGCTTATTGAAGCAAATCTAAATTGATTGCAGAGTCCAGCTTCCTTCCTAACGTCCCACAGTGATTTGCATATTCTAATTAGGTTTACCCGCTAAACGTTTTGTCTTTGCGGGAACAATCTGCGCATCTGTTGACAGGCTATTAAGCTTTTCTTTCTTTCCTTTTTTTTTTTTTTTTTTTAATATTGTTATTATTCGACCGGTCACATAATAAAGATGCCCCAGTTTGGGGTATTTAGGACACACCAGGGTGGCAATTAAATATGAGACCGACAGAGAAAGCAAAGGCCAGCAGATTTAAGCTCAACGCCTCTCCCCCTCTGGGCACAGTGTTTTTACTTTTAGGTCAGTATTAAATAAAATAACAGTATTAACTATAGGATACGTAAAGAGGATTTTGTTAATAAATTAGATTTAGAAATTGATAACAAACGGGACTGAAGTCAAGGAATAAACCAGAATAACAGGCTAATTATTTGACATTTCTGTTCCTGCACTTTCTTTTTTTTTTTCTTAGGCCTAATTTCATCTAATCAGCTAATATTCAATTAATGCGGGAATTTCTGTCGTTTGCAGATAATTTGTGGCACGCTTTCGGACATCTGGACAGACAATTGCGCACAGGAGAGTTTTATGGAGATGAGGAGACGCGCAGCATCACTGGGCCATGTGTGGCGATGAATAAATAGAAAAATGGGAGGCTCCCACGGGAGCGTTTGTTAACCACGAGAGGGAAAAATAACCCTCAACAGATTTAGACACGATTAGGAGATTTGGCTTCTACCCGAGAGTCGTTTCCTCTTTTTTGTTTGTTTGTTTTTTTTTGTTTGTTTTTACACGTCGGATTTTCCAAATAAAATAAAAAAAATATAAACAATTGTCATTAAGAAAGTTAAAATGTGACAACACAATTAAGAAAAGAGTTGCATTGAAATCTAAACATGGAAAGAAACGGAACAGTCTTGTATCTAATGAGATAAGATAACAAATAGCATCTCTTAAACCACACATACTGCCTAATGAAGACCAATGTGCAGAAGCAGCATCAATGCTGAAGAGGTCACCTTGACTGTGCTGCAGCATAAGTGACTCTTTCTAAACCTTGATAAAATGAATGTTGGAGTTGGAAATGTGATGCTTACATTTTTTGGCTCATATCTTATTTGGCTTCCTTCCATTAATGTTGTCTAAAATGGAAATATTCGGATTCTCGTCTGTATTAAGACCTTAAACAGCATTACAAAAATAGTAAGAGTCTAGAATAGAAATGTTGTAATATTTCATACAAACACAGTTTTCATACATGCACACATTTAAACTCTCTATAAAGCATGTTCTATATGGTTTAGTTTTAACAAAGAACATTTCCAGTGTCTATTACTGTATATTTATTGCTTCTAATAGTTAAGTTTGAAGTTAGAAATGCTGATGTTACAGACCACACAGGGATTTCAGCGTATTCTGTTTTATACTTTTTCTCTCTGTTCTATGATGAGTTTAGTGGTGATTGTTTGCCAAGCCAAACATCCAATTAAAGTTCCTTTAAGCCACTACTAAGGCACTGGGGTCAAGTTTCTATATGCAGACAAAAAGAAGGTTCAATTTCCAGTCTCTATGATGGTTCTGGATGGTTTATTTTCTATTTCAGCCAACAATTAAAGAGTTCCAACTTTTCCTCTGTCCTACCTCTCTTGCTCTGCTAAAAACCATAGGCCCTAAACCCAAAATGCCTGCTGGTCCACTCCCAGGCCCTATAGACTTATAGAAAGTGGACTGATCCACATCACTTCCTGTCATATCCTCAGAGCAAAAAATAAATAAGAAAAATAATAAAACAAAGAAATATAATCAACAATTATTAACCTGCAAATAAACTCTATATTATACAAAAAAATATAAATTTAGGAGCTAATCAATACAATTCAAATGGATTAAGAAATAAAGAATAAATAGCTCCAACAATGGGATGTAATGACGTCGCAACAGATTCAGTCATAAACTTTTTTGCCAGCAGTCTATCACTGAACGTTTTGTAGGTCTACGTTAGTGCCAGTGTTTGTTTTACCCGAAATGACAATAAAGTTAGAAACCAAATAGCTATTTGCTGACAAAAACATTGGAACTTATTATAGGCTCATTGTAACTGTCTGTTTCCCTCTTTTACTATAATATACAGTATAGTCATCATCTACTTTCCTACTTATCTACTTATTTTACTTATTTAGGTCTCACTTAGTTTGCTTTTATCTGTTGCTGCATAAATTGAAGAAATGCCGATTCTATGTGTTATTGATACACTTTTGCCAGTGGAATCTTCTTGTTTTGGCACAACCTTTCTGCATCACATTTTCTAGAGGGGTCTGGCTGCAGACGACTCTCTTCCATTTTCTCCTACGTATCTGTACTTTATTACAGTAGCTTATTCTAGAAAATTGGCACTTCAACCAGCTTGAGCGTTGTAGTTCTACTACAGTCTCATATTACTTTTACACCATGTTACAAACTTATTTGGTGGACAAACTTAAACCTGAATAGAATTAAATAGAATGAGCCTTTACTTTTTTTTTTTTTTTACAAGTAAGGAAATAGTTTTATAACTAAATATGAAATACCATATAGCAGAAGTGGGTAGTATTTAGTTACATTTACTCAGTTACATTTTCTTGAGTAACTATTTGAAAAAAAAAAAAACTTTTAGGGGTAGGTTTACTGTGCCGGCCTTTTTTCTTTTACTTATGTAATATTATTGTAAAGTACCCCTCCTCCTACATGAGTAAAATCTCTGACTACTCTGTCCTCTTTAAAGAATATGAACTATTCTAAAATCAGGTAAACATACAGTAAACAGTTGACATTAACAGTGGAAGTTTGTTACCCTGTCTTAACATATATAAAGTCCTCATTGTAAAGACTGATTTTCTAAATTTTCTGTTGAAAAAATGGTAAAAGTATTTTCTTCTGCATGAATTTGTTCTTTTATATTCATTACATTTATTTATATTATTTAGGCATTTGAGTCCTTAAAATACCAAAACTTACACATAAAGTCTGTTTTCCAGAATAATTTCTAAACATTAAATCTGATGTTGGTATCCAACAATTACTCAGTACTCAAGTAGGTTTTTCACCAAATGCTTTTTTACTTGTACTTGAGTAGTTTCTCTGATGACTACTTTTTACTTTACTTGAGTGAAGAAAAAAGTAAAAGTAGTGCTACTGTTACTCAAGTACAAATTTTGGGTACTCTGTCAACCTCTCACTGTGTTACTATATAGCATGATATAATAATAACAACAATAATTGAACTTTATTGATCACATTAGAGGAATTTACCTCTGCATTTAACCCATCCCCTTTGGGGACTAGTGAGCTGCCATCATGGGGCACCCCCGGGGGCAGTGTGGGGCTTAGGGTCTTGCTCAGAGACCCAGAGTGGCAGTCTGTGGGAGTGGGGCTCAAACTCAGAACCTCAGGAATCAAAGCTCTATGAGCTAACTACTAGGCCACCTCTGCAGCCCTCTAAGGGTAATGAGTAAGTTAGACCAACACATCCACACAATCTATTTTTCACTTAGGAACTTCTTGTTGCATCAGCTTTATAGAGCGATTTGTTAATTTAGGGAAACATTTAACTATTAGACACATTTTTTATGCCAGACGTTTTGGGCTTTTTTTAAATGTACGGTTGTTTTACTAGTTAGGGTGAAGTGGCTTAACAAAGTAGCAAAAACATTTATTTTGAAAATAATCAGGTTCTGCACTGATAACAAATGAAAAAGCATTCATTTATTCACTTTCACTCCCCTTTATTTAACAAGAATAAATTTTAACAGTGGGAAGGGGCAGGGGGTGTGGGGTCAAATAGTTTTCAGCAGGCATCAAAAGAGTTATGTAAGTCAAATAATTTATAAGACAATCAAACCTAACCATCACAGCAGACATCAGCATGTAAAAACTAAAATAAAACTAATTTAAATCTACCAGCACTAATTTGTGGATTGAAATGGGTTTAATCTACAATTTGTCTAGATAATTTCATAAAAAATAGGATCCAATATCTTAAGTTCAGATTTGAGATAAATTCAAATATGCTAGTAGAGGAGTTTTCAATCCCATTCCTTCAGGTCCAGTGTCTCTGATTTTACACACCTGAGTGAAATGGCTGAACTACCTTTTTAGTCTCCGGAGTCATGCTAATGACCTCAATATTTGTCCTAGGTCTGATAAGGCAAAGACAATTTGCGCTCCAAGGTGCAGGACACTGGAGACTAGACATGCAATTAAAGACACCTGCTATAGGAGCTGTGACACAGACTGATTGTTTACTCTTTTCT